GTTGAGTACTATAATAGGAGCAAGTTTAAATACAGCGTTATTAGTCAGTGAGCAAGCACGTGACTATACATGGTACTTCTGGGCTTACAATATGAGGCTTGAAAATATGCGCGTGAATTGACTCAACTGCTGCTAAGAACTCGGTCTCGATAAATGATGTATAGCCTGTAATATCGTTCCCTATGTGCCGGAAAACCCAGTGGGCCGGAATGAGGCAATAAGATGTAACGTTAGCATCGCGGGGATGACTGCTGACTTTGCACTCTTATTGGCTAGTTCCGGCTTACCAGGTTCTGCGGCACAATAGGGAGGGATTTTATGAGTCGCGTTATCAGCAGCCTGAGCATGCCAGTGCTTATATGGTTGAAAGCGGCCAAGATCAAGCGGCTGAAGAAAGTGTGACTATTTGGAGGAAGACGGCAAGCAATTGCTTTGTGTGTAAGCCCAGAAGTACCATGTATAGTCACGTGGTTACTCACTGAATAATAACGCTGTATTTAAACTTGCTCTCAGCATCGTATACAATATGAGAGACTTTCCACACACGGTACTGCTTACATTATGATCCTCAAGGTATTCAAGGAACTCCTGTGTGCAATGAATTTCAAAGCCGTCAAAGAGAAGAAGTTGACATACGCCTCTAAGATGCTTCTTCATTTGTCGTACGAAGTGCCTTGCCTACTTAACACTGAACTCATTATTTGTATAGCCGCTGTCGCTACGCGCAACAGGATAGCCATCAGGTAGATCAGTAGAGTAGCGCTCTATGATTACCATAGGCTTAATTGCGCTGTCATCCGCGTTGGCACATTCAGCCATTATGAGTGATGTACGATCATCTGGCATAGCCAGATAGACACGGTGATGAGGCTCAAATTTGACCACCCATTCACCTTTTCCAATCCCAATATGGGGTTCTTCCTGATCAAAATTCCAAGTATCAGCTGAATACACACGTCTCCTGCTACATCTCGCTGTTAGTTTAACTAGATCCCCTTAGAAACACCAAGTGTCTAGTTACCCGATCTTTAGTATCCTCAAAAGCATTTTCCACAATATTTTTTAGGTTTGAACGTCCCGACACATAATTCAAGCTGCCCTCACTATACAGGCATGATCCCTCTTCATCTTCTAACTCAGTATCTTTGGTACCTTCTATTGATAACCTTTCGTTGTCATCAGATTCCCAGATATCACCGGTGAAATAGATGTGGATCCGGCTGTCATCTAGTTAGCAACCTTTCTTCTACATTATCAGCGATCCAAATAGCGTCAGCAGGGCATCGCACGGCCCAAAGCATATACACTCGTGCTTCAGAATGCCTCTGGAGGATAAAGCCCGTCACATAGGGAAGGATACTAACTAACTAACTAACTTCTATTCTAGGCTGATATAGTTGGCATGGGCCTCGTCTTGTCCCTCTTCAATATCATCCATGCCTGACCTTGTGCTAAACATGTCTTCTTTCGGATGAGACGACTCCCTGAAAAGATACGGAACTGCAAGACTTGCAACGACCACCATAGATCCTAAAACGGTCAACACGTTCACATGTGAACGCCAGATAGCCCAGTCTAGAAAAAGCGCCCATAAAACCTGTGAATAAATCATGATAGTTACTCTAGGATCATCCGATCCTAAGCCTGCCGTTAGGAGATACTCCATCACAAGCCCGAGTATTCCTATTATGGCAAGAAGGCACCACGATTCAATTCGAGTTGGCCATACAACCTCGGGCATGATCGTGGAGAAAGCAGTTGTTACAATGCAAATACTGACCCCGAAATAGTTGATAGTGACAGCTGGCTGAACGTTTTTTCCTAGTCGGTTCATTGCTGAAAATGCAACCTAGTAATAGGAAAATATTAGTTAAAGTGTCGCATCAAAGAAACACAACTCAAACAGCATAGGCTACGATGCTCAAGTTGGTTGAGACTCACAATTCCACCAGCCACACCGGTGATTCCAGAAACAACACCTTTGAGGTGTGCGTAGGGGTCTGTAGAGATACTACTGGATATCTCGGCCTGTGCTACGGCTTTATAGATAGGGATAGGTTGCAGAACTAGAACAACTCCTGCAAGTGCTGTGATGCAGGCAATTAAGTCTAGAAACGCAAAAGTTCTACCCTCCCAATATGTTGTCAACATAATGGCCCCAAGCGGTGCTATAAAGTTGAGCACTGTAGCTTCGCTGAGCGAGAGGTATGAAATTGACACTAAAATTATTAATTATCTAGACTATTCACTAAGGATGTAGGGGCAAGATAGGAAGATTTCCTCACAGTAAAACCCACAAGCGCCGAAGACGCCTCCAGCCGCTCGTAGCGCTAATAGAGGTCTCAATCCGGTCGGTCCCAGGAAATCTATTCTCGCTCGCCAGAGGTAGGCAGTGCATCCAAGAACCGTAATGAAGAGACGAATTTGAAGCACTGTGAAGGGGTGGACTCGTTCTTTCAGGCCCGATCCGACCTCAACAACTCTGGCAAGGGCATGTAGCAGTGCTGCTGCTATCTGAGAGCTCAGAACAAGCAATTCAGCCCTATGCTGGGTGTAAAATGGAGTCTGTCTTGTTGGCTTCTCCATCTTTGAACCGATGGCTTCAATATGTGACGCGCTTGTTGACGTCTCAAAAGATAGATAATTCACAGTAGGCTGTATAGTCCTAACGTATACAAAGAGTCTGGTGAAGCTTGGATAGTAATCCAACTTAAAATCGGGGCCATCTTTTTATAAGTGGTATATATAGTCCGAATATCATATTCAACACTAAGCAAGCAGTACGCAGACATATTGTATAGAATACTAAATATCAGACACTAAAGTACTCCTGTTTTTGTCACACTTGTGATGGTCCTCAATCACTAATCAATCTGCTCATCGCTTACTCGTCTTGCACTTTGTTGCTTCATCAAGTTATCTAGTCATAGAAGCTGTTGTATTGGATACTAGAGCCTCGTTCTTTTGTGTTGAAGTATGTAATGTGGCGTTTGCCGTACGCTACTAGCGCAGAAAACCTCGGGATCATCCATTAATTCGGCTATTGTCATTAATCAACGTCGGAAATTCCTTCCCTAATACTCAAAGGTGCAGAGATCTTTTAAGAAGTTTGGTCTTAGATAGTAAATAATTTCAAGCACAAACCTTGGAAACATAAAACTCCCGATACCGTGTCTGCGCATTTTTTTCTCACAGTCGAGTTTTGTTCCATCCCAACAACACAATGCCTAGCCTAGAAACAATGTAACTATCTTTATATATATTGACATAGAAGATTAAGTAGTTAGCATCTAGAGTATATTTCTTGCATGTACGCGCATTATGGCCAGTCTCTCTACACCTACTACAGCGCGCTAGAGCCTGGCGGCTGACACCTGATCGCTCCCCTCCCTGACGCTCTTCATCAGCAATCTG